TGCAGGGAGTCTCTGCAGCAAGGCTAAGGTTGCAGGGAGTCTCTGCAGCAAGGCTAAGGTTGCAGGGAGTCTCTGCAGCAAGGCTGATCATTTATTTACTTAGCATTTGTTTACTGAATCTACAGAGAATCTGAGAATATTCCAAATTTCAGCTTTCGTGAACAATGTGGTATACGGGGTAAGATCACTTGCTACCAAGGCAAACACCTGCATTTGATCCCCAGGACCCACATGGTAGAGGCAGAGAACTAGCTCCTGCAAGCTGTCCTCTTGCTGCCTCTTCCTGCCCCCCACACACACTGGCACATACATCCGTATCCACCAAAAACCCCATACACGCAAGTAAATGCGATTTTTTAAAAAAAAGATTGGGTTAATTGCATGTTTATGTGTTGACAGGAAATTCTAGGAAGGGCATGGGTCTTAGTTTTCTTACTATTGCTGTGTTAAAGACACCATGACCAAAAGCAACTTGGGGAGGAAAGGGCTCATTTCACCTTCGAGCTTGTAGTCCATACTTATGGGAAATCAGGACAGGACCTAGAGGCAGGAGCTGAAGCAGAGGCCGTGGAGTAGCAGTGTTTACTGGCTTCTCCACCTACTTTTTTTTTATATACCACCGAAGACCACTTGCCCAGGGGTGGCACCACTCCTAGTGGATTGGGCCCCTCCGCAACAATCAAGAAAATTCCCCACAGGTCAGTCTGGTGGAGGCGCCCACTAATCAAAGTTCCCTCCTCCCAAGTGACCCTAGTCTATGTCAAGTTGACACAAAACCAAGCACAAGGATGGAAGGAAGTTCCGTTTTGGGCAGTGAGTGGAGCTGGAGTCAGGTGCACAGGGGAGAGGGGTCTCAATGATAGAGATGCCGTTGCCCTGCCTGGTCCTCCGTGACGCACGCTGGCCATGAGTGGGTGGACAGAGTGGAAACTTGTGGACTCCCGTTATAATTGCTCCTATTCTGCCAGCGAAGTGGAGAGTAAATTCATTCTCTGAAAGCAGGAGGCAGGTTTTAGAAATTGTTCAGTATTGATGGAGCTGACAGCCTTCAGTTCTGCCCTATTGCTTTGCATTTATAAATCATCCGTCCTTCGTAGCATCCTGCTGTGGAGAACCTTTTGATATTTAGAAAAATCTTCGTTTTCTCAGCTGATGTTTTCATAAGATGCCTTAGAGCATCACAGGAAAGTCCCTATTGCTTGCAGGTGTGCAGGGGGAACGTTGTCCACTGACTCCATACAGTCAGACCATGTTGAAATCCCTCCTGGTTCCCCCAGAAGCTAGCTTAATGGAAAATGATTGCATTTTCTAGTCTCAGGTAGACCTAGCGCCCTCTAACGGGCTACTTGCTCATAGCATGCGTCTGGACTGTGTGAAGTCAGTGGGACTCCTTGGGAAGAAAGCCTTAGGTTCCTCCTGCACAGCAGATACAGTGTGAAGTGTTCAAAAGCTGCATCTTCTGCTCTACCCCTAGAATCCTTCTACACACAGGAACACTATCAGCAAGGATCTCTGGCCACCAGATGGCTGGTAGGGTGTCCCAGTCAATGACCCTCTGCTGTAGTTTAAGCTCTCTCCAGGTCCCCAAGTTGTGTATTTTCTGTCATTCCAGATTTAGTCAAAAGCAGAGACCACAGTTGTTTTCTGGATCTGTTGCTGACCCTAACTCCAAAGGCATGACTGCTTCTCTTCTCCTCTCAGAAGCTGCTAGATTTATAGCCTTTTCTCTCGAACTTATACAGTGGTCTGCAACCTAAAATTATATATGTATCTATACATACATGCAAACACACACACATGTAAACAGGTTTGACAGTAGGCAACCGTGGAGAAGCTGTCACCTGGCTGAGCCCACGTCTAATTCCTTGGCTTGCAATCTACAGGCTGAACAGTCAGGAAGAGAAAGTGAGCATCAAATGACAGAGTCAGGCTGACCTCAAAAGCAGATGAACTTGTGCCTGCAAACTGTGTGGTGTCATAGAAGTGGCGCCTTCTGTGGTGTTCCTTGTGGAATATTTAAGATGTGCTACTTTCATTTATGCTGTGGAATATTGGTTTAATGGTGCCAAGATGTATTGCATTCTTTTATGTTGCATTCATTGTCTTGTTTTAACTGTGTGAAGCTGCGTTACTTTGCCTGCCTAAAACACCTGATTGGTCTAATAAAGAGCCGACCAGCCAATAGCAAGGCAGGGAAAGGATAGGCAGGGCTGGCAGACAGAGAGAATAAATAGAAGGACAAAGGAGCAAGGAAAGGAGGCGAGGATGATGCCAGGGGCCACCCTGCCACACAGCCAGACATAGAAAAAGAAGGGAAGAAAAGATATACAGAAACAGAGAAAGGTAGAAGCCCAACGGTAAAAGATAAACAGGATAATTAAGAAAAGCTGGCTAGAAACAATCCAAGCTAAGGCTGGGCATTCATAAGTAAGAATAAGTCTCTCTGTGATTATTTGGGAGCTGGGTCGCGGGCCCCCAAAGAGTAAAGAGTAAAAAACAACCAACTACAGTTCCTAAACCACAACATAAGCGGAGACCAGACCAGTGGGCAGTGTTGCCCTGAGTCCCACTCAGAGTCACTCAAGACTGTTCTTGTAGTTATTTTCTCAGCCTAGGATGCATCAGAGAGAAAGAACTCAGGACTAGAATACCATTGCTGGGTTCCTGAGGCCTTTTGTCCTCAGAAAACATGCTTCCAAAAGCCCAGAGAGAGTGGCCTGCGACATACCTAATCTATATATTCCAGGCTACAAACCTGTGCAGTATGCTATGGCAGACAGAGACACCATGCAGGTTAGCAACCGTGTGTATCTAAACAGAAATGACACAGTAAAGGAACTGCCTGACATAGTCACTTTCTCGTGGCTGTAAGAACATGTCCCTTGAAAGCCAGTTAAGGGAGAAAAGCTTTGTTTTGGATTATGATTCCAGAGGGACACAATCCACCACGGCAAGGAAGGTGTGGCAGCAGGCATGGTGACAGGAGTTAGAGGCTGTAAAACTTCAAGGCCTGTGCCCAGTGACCCACTTCCACTAAGGCCCCACCTCCTAGGGGATTCAGAACTTTCCCAAACAGCCGCTGGGTGGGAAGCAAGGGTTCAGCCACACTGGCCTATGGGGGACATCTCCCATTCACGTTCACCCACAATAAGAGTTTCCAACTCCATTTCAATCTCATGGGCCCCCTGTTGTCTTTGTGGCATTCGTCAGCCGAAGCATCATTATGAGGCGCATACCCGTTACACACCAAATAAATGCACTTTTGCCAATAAAAATTAAAACATTGACTATCAGTCTCTGTCTTGGTTTCTTTTCCCATAAGTTAAAGGGAAAAGGTATTGTTCTAGCTCATGGTTTTGTAGCCCACCATGGTGTGAAGTCAGGGCACAGGAGCTCCAGGTGACTGGCCACATTACACCTGCAGAATGGACGAGAAACAAGGGGTGAGTGCAGGTTCACCATTCAGCATCTTCTCTCCTTTTCATTCAGTCCAGGGCCCGGCCCAGGGAACAGTACCACCCACATCCAGGATGGGTTCCCACCCCAGTTGGAAAATCCTTACAGGCCCTTTACCCCACCCGGGGCAGGGGTTCTAGGTTTTACCTGGTTGACAGTACTTTCACAGTCCCCTTGACCATAGACAGTCATTTACAGAGAGGTAAGGACTGTCACAAGGTCGGCACCATTCTCCTTTACTTCCAAGTATTTGTATCCACACTCTGAAATGGCACCACAGGAAATGTGGAAGGCAGTGCCCAGGAATTCCAGGTGTACAGATGAAATGAGACCTAAGCCTGGTACTGAGGCACAAACTCCAAGTCAGCACAAGCCTTCCCAAGCTCTGGAAGTTGGGCAGAACCATAATACAAATAGCAGTGAGTGCTAATTCTGAGCTTAGTGTGTGTTGTGACACTTGGCTGCATCACTTCAACATAAACCAAGATGTACCCATTTAGCGGCGGGGCCCATGGGTACCGCTGCCGCCAAGGAACCCATTGTGTTTTAGAATATTTTGAGTTATTTGGTGGCTTGGTTAATCATTTTAGCATTCACTTTTACTAAAATTGTAAATCACTTAATCACCGCACCACCCTCACCCGAAGTCATTAAGTGATAGTGCTTTTAGGGGCCTGCAAAAAAGGACTCACGGAGGCCAATTACTTTGAAGTGGAAATTAGATGCTATAATGCACAACAAAGACGCTTAAACAAGCACCATAATGCACTGTGCTGTTAATTTGGTGGCGAGCCCTAAATACATCATGCTAACACTGGTAAAATTAAAGAGGCAGCATTAGGGCGATGCCTTCCCCAGAGAATGCCAATTCCCACTCCTGAGCATGACCCACCCCATCCTGGGTCCTCCAGGAGGTTAGTGCTAAGTAATGGAGGTCAGGGATATTTGCAGGCTGTTATAAACAAAATCTGTTCAGAGATTTCTCTGCTGTTATGGGTGAGATTTTTAAATTTTGGTACTCGCATTTCCTTTTAAACCCTTTGGAAGGGCAGATGATTAAAAAGACAACTCATGGCTTATAGTCTTAATTTCTAAAGACTTAATCCTTTTTTTTTAATGGGTGTGGGTGTTTTGCCTATAAGCATATCTGTGCGGGGCACATGCCTGGTGACTCCTGATGCCAGAAGAGGATGTTGGATCTCCTGGAACTGGGACATGAAGCAGGGCCTTCTGGAACAGTC